GTTTTTTGGATTCTTTTAAAAATGAAAGGATTTTCCAGTTTTCCCCAAGAGACTGGCAACTGCAAAGCACAACGCCCTTTAGGAAATAAATCTTCATTAACTAAATGAACAGTGCCATGACAGGCACTTGTTTTTCAACCCAACAGCTTTTCAACTGTGATCCCTTTCACTACTTATAAAATCTGGTTGGCCATGCCAGCACACGTTAGGACAAACCTGAAGTATACTCAACATTCAGCACACCATTCTTCCCAAAACACAAGGAGTATAGACAGCTCCAGCTGTCCTGGCTGGTTGTATAATGAAAACCAGAGTTGACCCTTTAAGGTATACTAGAGCCCTGTTAAAGGGGCTCCCTGGAGCTGCATGCTACCCAACAGCTTGCAAGCAGCTTGAGTGACAGGTGAGTACAGGTTACTTGCAGGAAGGACACTGTGCCAAGACCTAGGGCACTTCGAACTTAGAGTCCTCAAGATGTTTCTAACAGCCACAATTAACTACAACACTGCATAAAACAGACAGAATAAGCAATCAAAAGGACTGAGATAGCAAGTCAAAAGCAAGTGGACAATGTAATAAACAGCCTCAGGCAGAAAAAATGCAGTGGATTCCATTACAGATTATTTGGCAAAGGAGAAGCTGATAAATGACTCAACTCCTAGGAAAACTGCATGAAACTACATTTGGCTTCCAAGAAAGAAATTAAGAAAGCAGCTGAAAAAAAGGAAGATGCCACAGACTGAAAGAGCAATGGTGATCTGGGACAATGCTAAGTGTTTGCTTCCTGTTTCTCCAAGTATGGACCAGTCTGAGTTTCAAGATTCCTTTTACCACATGAAAAAACCTTTCACCAAAGCAGCAAGGTTGCATACATTAGCCTTGCTGGCTGAACAATTATTCAAGTCTGATATCCAAAGGATATCTGTTTGACTTTCTTAATTTTGTTCCAAAATAAAGTGGGGAAAATGCTTTAGACAAAGGCCTACATGAGCTGTTTAATCAGCAAAAGCAAACTGAGGCTCACTGTTTGAAGAAACACTGCATCATTGTTACATATCTACTTCCAGAATATCTGTATAGTAATCTTTCAAATATATATATTTTTAAGCAAGAACAGACAAGATCAGGATGTAATAAAAATGCCTTCCATAATGAGAACAAGTGTAAAAAAACTATCCTTATCAAACTGGTAATTTTTAACCTGTATTAAGACACCCTGGTATGATACCATTTCTGTAGGGTTCTGAAAAGGTATTAAGAAAAGCAAATCAAATGCTTGCATTCAACCACTGAACCAGGCAAAAAGAAAAGTTACTATTTTATGCAGAATGTCACACATGCTCTTTTAACCCATCTTGTGTTAGAAGAATCTGTCTGTATAGTAAATATAAATCCAAGTTGTATAACAAACACTTCTAAGTGTCTCTATATACACAGACACACCCACCACTTTCTGGGCAATGCTTACTTACTTACAGAATTTAACCTGGTCTCAGCTTAGGATTGTTTTTGAAGTGATGAAAGCAAACAAAGTTTTCTCCCTGTTCTGTTGCTTTAGAAATATGCCATGCTAATAAGAACAAAGTGTCCTGCAAGAATTCTTCACAGCTTTCAATATACACCCTACAAAGCCACTAGCAACACACTGCAGTCTGTATCCATTCAAAGTTCTATTTTATCCATTCTCTTTGGAGTAGCAAAAGAATAAAAATATAGTAGTAGTTTCCCATACATGAAGAGGATTGAAACATTTCAATCAATTTCAAAATTCAATTTCAATTTCAAAAGAAGAGTGATAAAAGCAAAAAACACAACTCCTACAAAATAAAGTAATCCTTCACTATGTCTTCTTTCCCCTCCCAAAATATATTTCCTGCCTTCACAAAAGTAACAAGGATCCTTCTCTGGCTTTACCAGTATAACTTAAATTTTATGCTTCTCCCTCTGTATCAATGTTTTGTCTTTTGTTACATGAGATATCTCAGGTTCTTGAATTCTTTAGATTTTCTCTCCCATCCTCATCATTCCTTAAGGGGGGAGACACATTGCTTACAAGTGCTTATTAGACATCTCCTCTCATGATCCAAGACACAGACAAAGCAAAGTTTCAAGTTCTCAAAAGTAAGGAATAGGGTTTGGATTTAAAACATACAGTTGTTAGGTTATCTCAGTAGCAACAGTGACTTCTCTGCTCTGTAGATAGTGGTTGTGGTGATGCTCTGAGTACACCACAATCCTTAGGGCTAGTAACAGCAACATTTAGGGGGAAAAAGGAACAACACTGTTGGGAAACAGTCTGAAAGTACAGCTCTGGACAAACCTAAGTGAACATGGATTGCCCAGGAACAAAGAGAATGGGGCTTACAAAGAAACTTCACAGGAAAAAAAAGCCCAAAAACAACCAGGGAAAGTATTGTGGTGTGCTACTCCATTAAAATAATTTAAGAGAGAGAAAAAGAAGGAAATCCAGAAGCAAAACTAATTGAGGCTACTCACAAAATTCAGGAGAGGACACAACTGAAAATAACTAAGCAAAATACAATACCCTCTATTATTTCAGTATGTTTTATATATGTAACAAGAGGAAGCAGAATTGACCAGATATAAACATGAATCAGAGAAAAGAAATGTCAAGTTGTGGCTATATATGTTTTTCAACTAATGTCAAACCAAAAAAATACAATATTAGCTAGGAATGCAATTTGTGCAATGGCAGAATAGTATTTTTCATCTTAAAAATCTAATTTCATTACTGAAAAACTATTCTACAATCAGGGCCGTTAAGTAGAATACTGAACACAACAAAGAAAATATCTGAAGTGTCACCAGCAAAATCTGCTGAGTACTTTCAACAACAATATCCACAATTTGAATCCTAACAACAGAGGAAAACTTTCAGTAAGTGAAGAAGTCTCTTATCTTTATATATAGAATATTCATCACTGCCTAATACCTTCTGGCAAACACACGTCTGTCACTTATGGTTCAGTTTTTTTCAGAGAACTAGTCAAACTGAAAAACAAACTTTTAAATTTAACCTGATCCAATACTACTTTCATGACTAAGCAAACTGACAAGCCTAACCAGCCTACTGCTAACTCTAAGTGCCATCCAGCAATATGGTGAGACATTAAGGCAGGAAGGTCAGTTTCGCTTTTCTGATTATTTACTAAGTATTTAACAATCAAAAAAAAGTTAAGATTTTTTTTTTCCAGAAACATTAGAAAAACGAGGGATATACCTAGAGCTTTTCTTCTTCTATATTTTATTTCCATATGGAAATTCAGGTTATGTTCAAGGAACACTCACATAAGGACAGGCTTCATACTCTGTCTTCAGAGGTACCTTGAGCATATCTTCTGAGGTCACCTTCTGCAGTCTCAAAAGGCACATGCAGATGCAGCAAGTCAAAAAGAATGACTACTACCCTTACAGCACAAGGGATCTTGTAACAGGAGTTGCCCTGTACTTTCTAGGAGTCTTTAAAAATCACAATTGACTGTAAAGGCCTGGTCTACTTTTCCTTTGCTACCATCTGAAGTATGATTTATCCACCAGCTGACTGGGAGTAAAACTCAGTAAAACCTTTTTTAAACGTTGTTTCATAACAGCTCTTTTGTTTTGCCTGCTAACTGTTGTGAAATACAGGTATTTTGCCCATTGCAAAAAAAAAAATAATTAAAAAAGGCAGAAAGTTCTGACGTTTGTTTTGGCATAGTTCTCACGTTTGTTTTAACACAGTTCTTGGTATTTTGAGAGTGCTGCTATCTAAACGTAAGCACTGGGAACACTAATCTTATTTACTGTATTATCAAAACTGAACATGAGCCTGGCCAACATCTATATTATTAATTAAAACAGATTATCAGAATAGGTTTTCATGCCTTTCCTGCTTTAGGTGACTCTTGAAGCAAGAAATTTGCTTTAGCTCTAGAGAACTGCCTGTTTTTTTCTCTCTACTTAACACATTCTTCTATCACTCTTACAAACAAACTAAGAGACACATTACCTCCATAATGAACAGCAAAACAATTAACAGAGGAAGGCACTCTTGTAACTTTAGTACTTAAACAAAGATCCCTTGAGCTTCTATATTGTGATCAGAATTCCACATCAGTATCATCTGTGCTGACTAAAACAATTTGTCACAATACATCAGGAGTGCTACAAGCCTCTTTCAAAGAGGAAGCCATATCCCAAATACCTATTTTGATTAACTGCTCTCTGGGACTTATTAGTGAGAAGATTGTAATGCACACATAAACAAACCAAAAACAACATCAACCATGCAGCAGCAAATAAAAGAAAACTGGAATGCAAAAGGAAAATTTAAAAAAACAAACAAAAACCCCACACACAAACGAACAAACAAACAACAAAAATAAACCACAAGAAAAACACCAACCAACCACCAAACCAAACTAACCCCCAAAAAACTACAACAAACCAACAACACCAGAACTCAAATGCTGACAGAGAAGTACTGAACGGCAGAAGAAAAGAATTTGGCAAAAAAAAATACTTGGACAAAAAGACGTGTCCAAAATAGTTTTGCTATATCCCCATAACTTCTGGAAGATATTATGTTATTGAGGATTTTACTAGTCATCACTGTGTATCTACTACAAAACTAAGCAGGAAAAGAAGCACACGCAGAATAACTGCAGTCTCTCACCAAGCCTCTTCTTCTCTGAATTCTGACATTCATCACTGAAACCAGAACTGGGTGGCAGATTTGGAAAGCAGTAAAATATTTTCAATTTTGAAAATAAGTACCTATACAGAATAATTTCTCCTGCAGTATAAAGACATGGCAACAGCACACTGCAGCACCACCTCATTTTATTACATGGCACATTTATCTACTGGTCATGCCCTGACCATAACATCTCTCTCAATTATGTAAGAGCAGCATCTCTCTAGTGCCCACTCTAATGTCACCCACTATAACCAGAACACATTAATGATGAATACAGTCACTCAAGTCTTATTTACCATACCTTTCTGTTATGCAGATGAAAAACCTAAGGAAGTCTGATTTCTCCTGACCAGCTTTCACGGCCGCAGTTGGGAGAGACAACATGATGTCACCTGTCAAAACCCAGCAAACAGCCCATAACTACACCAAGAACAAGAACAGAGGCAGGAGATAGTAATTCTATTTCCACCTCTCCACAGAATCTGTTTGACCTTGGCAAGTCACTGGGGTTTTGTGCTTGTTTTTTCACGTTCAGGACATGAGGAGCTTTTACGCAGACGGCTGGAACAACAACAATAACTGAGTAAGGCTAATTATTATTTATTCTGCCTGGCCTTAGAACTCTTCCACAACGGCATAAACTCAAGAGTGTGCACAAGCACCTCCAAGACTCTAGACCTTAAATTTGAAGTTCCCTTTATGTAAGATCACCACTGAAAGCAGTAAAACCCCTTACCAAGACAACCTCCCCTGTAATCCATAACTGATAAAAGCTTAGTTTCACAAATTCTTCTGCTAAACAAACAACTTTAACCTTCTTTTCTACACTGGTAGCTCCCAATCCATAATCTGCAACTTGCAAACACTGCCTGCAAGATCCTTTGCCACTGCTTCCAGACAAAATTACATTAGAGTAAAAATAAGAGCTGCCAGGAAAAGGAAGTAGGATATTTTCTGAAGAGTATCTTTTATTCTGTGCCATTTCTATGGTTCGGCAAAAATTGGGGACCAGTATTTTGCACAATTCAATTCCCTCTTTAGGCTTGGAAAATTCTGAATTTCACACCAGTCTGATCAAGTTTCATTTCAATACCAACTTTCCTGGTAATCTCCCAAAACACCACACACTAAAAATATGCCACAAGTATGGCTTTGAAAAAAACAAAGTGCAGAGGAAACGTCCTACAGACCAAGCAATGTTACCAAGAACAAAAGTAGAAAGACTTTTTTCTGACACATTCAGAAAAATGTCTATATTTGTCTGTACTCATAAAGGAAAAAAATTTGGTATTCATTCCTCTACTCAAATAACTGTAAGAAATTAGATTAATAACCAAAATACCAACTAGGATCCATTGTAGTATATACCCTTTAATCTAACCTACAAGAAGTAGAAAAATTAAATGAAGATCCTGATATGATCTCACGCAGAGCCGTTAAAAATTATTAGTTGCCAATAGAGCTTGTTGCCTATTTGAGAAAGTGTTCTCGATTTTCAGTGCACTGATGAAATACCACTGCATACAAGCGAGTCAGGCAGTACAGCAAAATGGAGATAAACTCTTGCTCCAGAATGAGAAATAAATGCAGAAAAGTTATACCATAACCACAACCACTGTAAGGTCTTCATGTTTGCCAAGTGAAGCATGTAAACAACTTTAGAATCACAGACTCATGGAACACTCTGAGCTGGAAGGGATCCACCAGGATCATCAAGCCCAGTTCCTGGCGCTGTGCAGGACAACCCCAGAATCACACCATGCGCCTTGAAAGCATTGTCCTGATGCTTCTTGAACTCTGTCAGGCTTGGTGCTGTGACCACTTCTCTGGGGAACCTTTTCCTAATACCCAATCTAAACCTCTCCTGAATAAATTCAGGCCATTTCTTTGCGTCCTATCACTGGTCACCAGAGAGGAGATCAGTGCCTGCCCCTCTGCTTCCCCTGTGAGAAAACTCAAGGCTGTGGTGAGGTCTCCTCCTGGTCTCCTCCAGACTGAGTGACACTGATCTCAGGCATTCCTCACATGACATCCCCTCGAGACCCTTCACCATCCTCACAGTGCTCCTCTGGATGCTCCCTAAGAGCCTTACATCTCTCCTACTGCGGTACCCAGAACTGCCCCCAGCACTGGAGGTCAGGCTGTCCCAGCTCAGAGCAGAGCAGGACAGTCCCCTCCCTTGCCTGGCTGGCCATCTGTGCCTGATGCCCCCAGGACACGCTCGGCCCTCCCGGCTGCCAGGGCACTGCTGTCTCATGTCCAGCTTGCTGCCAGCCAGGACCCCCAGGTCCCTTTCCAGCCCCCATTCCCCAGGCTATGCACATCCAGAGCTGCCCCATCGCTGGCACTCGCCCCTGTTAAATTTCACATCTGGTGATGGCCCAGCCCTCTAACTAGCCAAGATCACCCCGCAGGGCCTCTCTCAGTTTAAATAACGATGGAAATACGTACTGCAATTCAACACAAATGGTTCAAGGCTTATCTACATAAAAAGACATCCTCAAAAAAGAGCCTCGCACGCTTCCTGAAGACACAAGCTGTTGAAGAAAGTGTTCAGGCTGCTTTAGAGAGAACAAATCATGTCCCAGCAGCATGTCATTCACTAAAAAAATCTTATTAAGCAAACAGTAGAACACGATAACAATTACATATTATGATAAAATTTTACAGATCAGTCAAGCTTTTAAAAAATACAAAAAAATCAGTGTTTTTCTTAATTTCTCTTTATATTTTATACATAATTTTAATAAATACATAATATTGGAATATATTTTATATATATAATAATCATCTGTCTCTTGTAAAGATTTCAATCTGCAAGCTTAATCAAGAGACTTCTCACACTGTACATACTGAAACTCTAACATTCTTTTCTTTCTTGGTAAAAAATTTACCACCACAAATATGTAGTTTATACATTTACAAGCATAAGAGCAAGAAGATACATGGCCATATGTCACCATCTGGATAACTAAAGTGGAGTTGAAGAGCAAGAAGTATTTTTTAGAAAATGAAATTATTTTTAACAGTATAAGCAGGCTCTGAAAAAATGGCTGTGATGTGACATAGCAAAGGTGACAAAAGAGTTTCCTCAGATTGTAAAGGTTACTTAATTTTTTTTGTAAAAGGTAGCAACCACAAAATACATACACAAAATATGAGTAAAGAACATCTCATAAGTAGAGCTCCAGGAAATAAGAAACTCTTAAGTTTAGCCCTTACTTTTCCAAGACTCAGTAAGAATATAGGGATATGGAAACTGCTTCTCTTAATAATTTCTTCTTCAGTGAAATGTATTGGCTGTTTCCTTTTCTGAATTTTTACATTAAAAAAGATAAACAAAATTCTATATGATTTCCTTACTACATATCATCTTAATTGTTAATTAATGCAACTATGTTCAAGGTAAGGATGAAGTGTATGACATTATAATGCTGTAAGTATTTCCACATAAAAATAATGGAAGTTCACTGAAATCAAGAATATAATTTATAATTATAAAACTGCCTTGAAATACTTTTCACTTAAAAGGCATATCCACTTTTGTCAACGGAATTAAGATTTCACCTGACAATACAGCTAGTGACATTTACTTTTTTCTCTTTTTCACCTAAACATAAAAAAGAAAATAAGTAATTCTATAAAAGCCAGCATACACAATTGCTCAATTTTTAGAAACATTGAAATATCAAATTTAAAAAAAAAACAAAACCACTTAAAATACACCTTTCCTGTGAAATGCTCTTGAGAGGCAGTATTTCAGCACATTAGTGCCATTTAGTTCAGTTAATAACGTGCTTGCAATTAACATCCAAACAATTTAGGGTTGGAAGTACTACAAACACAGAAAACGGAGTCCTGAAACTGTGCATAAACTACATTCTTCATGCCAAGTGAGATTCTAACAAACTTCATAAGAGAATACTTGTTTGTATTAAATATGTATTTTAAAAATTCAAATGACAACCTATCTTTTCAAGTTTTTCTAAAACCAAGCAGAACAGGTATGCATTGCACCACAACTGTAAACTTCACAACAATGAATTAGCAACTACAAAACCTCTCCTCAAAACCTTTACCTGTGAAGGCACCACACGTCTTTTAGAAAGATTTTATACACACCTACAGGCTACTTGCTCTGCTTTTCACAGATTTTTAAAACATAGAAATTGGAGTTCAAAATAATGAAAAAGAGTCCTAAAATAAACTACTACTGCAAAATAGAAATTTGCAAGTCAGAGGAAAGAAACTCACTCTCATTCACAAAGCCATGATCATTATGCACTTCACAGTACGGAACAATACTTAAAAGAGAACTATTTTAGCAAAGAGATAGCAGCAAAGGATATTGCCTTTTAATTGGCTGTAGCAAGCACACACATACTATGCCAAATACAATAGTCTACAGATTATTTTTGGAGAAATCAAGCTATAGAAAGATTATTTTCAAACTTTCTTTGTGCTCTCTATCAACCAGAATAAGTCAAACAACAAAGAGGTACTTAACACAGTGAATAAACAGCAAAAGCAAATAAAATCCAAATTAAGACCTTAACTCCATAAAACTGCTTCTACTGAAAGCAGAAGGTTAAAAGATTAAAAAGAGTATTTGCCAGCATTTCAGAAGACTCCTTCAAGAATACAGTGCTCACAAGGATTTCCCAATAGTCTGACTTGACAGCTCTTGCTCCTTGATAGCGATTTAAATGTTAGTCACACAAAACCATCTACTCATTTGATTGTGAACAAGTTTTTCCCAACCTTTAACACTCATCAGGTGCATATACACAATACAATAGCTGTAGTTATACTACTACTCAAATTTTAATAAGCACTGTTTAAACCTTCAGTGACAGTAAAACTGTAGCCTGAAGAACTCATCCATGAATTCTAGTCCTATAGTCTACATCATCCTGATTCCACTCCTTAAGCTTCACTGAAACCATGCTAACATCTCTTGCAGCCTAACCCTATGATGAGGCTCAGAATCAATATGTATTTATCTTCCTTGACCTGTCAAATCACCCAAGACTACCAGCAATGCTTCTTTTCCAGAAATAACTCTCCCTCATTCTCTTGGCATTGCTGCTGTCATGACTCATCCCTTCTCACTGTTCTTTCAGTGCATCCTCCTGAAGGAGCCTCCTCTTTCACCTGTATTATTTTATGAATCACTTCCTAGGCTTTGGTCTTGCATCCCTTTCCATCTGTCTTCATTCTATCCAGAACCAGGATTCAAATTCAACTATGAACTACCTGCCATCAATCAGAAATATTCTTTCTACTCCCTATCTCCTGTGCTTGTCCAAGTCAACACCCCAGCCTGAGTCTCTCTTTCCCCACACTGATGCCTCACTATCAGCTCAGCCCCAGCACAGACAACAAGCAGGTCTTATTCACTCCCCACTCCTTCAGTCTCCTTTCCACTACTGCAAGTCCTGAACTTAGTTAAGCATTAGCTCTCAAATCCAGGTTCTTTGTGGGTTCTAGAAATAACCTGCTGTTGAGATCCTAGCAATGCCCATCTCATCACTAAGATATCCCTTTAGTAGCTGAAATGTTATCACGTGACCACAGAAGTTCACACCTGAAATAGTGAAGCAATCTTCTTCATCTTTCAAGATCCAGGATTGATCCTTATGAACATTCCTCTCTCGATAGTTTTTTTTAGC